CTCCTCTTGGCGCCCGGCCTGGTGCGCGCCTGGCCCGGCCCGGCGCGGTCCCGGGAAGCCCCGGCCTCGCCGCGGCCCTCCTCGTGATTCTCCCGCAGGGAATCTCCGCCTCAGGCGCCTCGAGTCCCCTTTGGGTCAGCGAGTCCCCCTCACCAGCGAAGCGGGGCAGGCCCTGGCTGAGAGGGGCCAAAATGGCCGCCCCGGCGGGCCCCGCCGCCCGCAGAGCGGCTGGAGCCAAGCGCCGCGCTCAGCCTGGCCCAGCGGCACCGGGGGCGGTGACACAGCGAGGGGGCACCAGGTGGCCGGGCCTGGCCTTGGGCCATCCTGCGCGAAAGGGGAGATCCTGCGGTGCGTCCAGGATCCGCACGCCCGGGCTCCCGTTGATCCCCCGCCTTCTGTGTCGTCTCCCTGGCCCCTCAAAGCTGGCCCTCTCCTCTCCCACAGCATCACAGCCAGAATGGGGCCTCAGCTCATGGCCTCCTGGCTAAGGCGCATCCCAAATCCCCCCCACCTTCCTGCAGGTGCTTTCCCTCCATGGGGTGCAGGACGAAACCCTCTTCCAGAGCAACTCCAGAAAAAACCCTGCATCTCCAGCACCGGCTTGCAGCTCCTGCACCGCTGCCCAGCTTGCCTGCTGAGCTGGTGCTGCCCTCAGCCATGCTCAGGAACTGCGCTGTTTTCAGGGGTCTCCTCTGGCCTGCAATACAGGTGGTAACGGTTTCCTCCTCCCCCCAAAATTATTCTTAACCCAGATCAAAACCTTTCTGATGATACACTACTATCAAACCTTACCTATTTTCATGTTATAATCGTTTCCATGTTGCCTCTAATAGCTTGTTAACCCCAGGGACTAGCCACAGCTTAGAAAACCTTCAAGTTTAGGTCACAGTGAGTCCCGCTTCCCCCTGATACCTGCAGAGGTGCCTTGAGCTGCACAGGCTGTGGTTGCTGCCAGGCACCTGCTTCAGAAACCGCATTGTGGATGAGCCGGCTTGAGGAAACGAGCAGAGTTCAGTGCTCCTGGTCTCTACTGGCTTCCCCAAGGATGACGGTGAGGATGTGGATGAGAAGGTGCCGGGCTTGGGACAGGCCTTAGAAAACACTTCATCCAGGCTCCCTGGCCTGATGCAGGGCACGTTGCTTAATATCTACGTTCCCCATTCCTCTGAAATTCCTCATTTCCCAGGGCTGCCGTGAACCTGCAGAGTTAACACTCATCAAGGGCTATTGGAAAGAGGCTTTGGCCCGTGCGGGGGCGAGAGGAAATAACAGGCACTGTGAGAGCAGCGTTTGGAACGTGTGCGAGAGCAGAGCCTGGCTGGAGTGAGCGCCGCAGCTAAAAATAAGATCGAGCAGGTCTCGTTTCATCGAGCTCTAACCGCTTCCAGACGGGGGAGGTGATGGCCATTCAAGGCAGCGCAGCAAGCACCTAACAGACATCTTGGTCATTCCTGTGCCCAGGGGAGCTCGCCACAAAAGCTGCACCAGCAGCACACTTCTACTGGCAGCTGTTTTCTTTGGGACTGTGCTGATTCACACGTTTCTTTGGTTTTCATCTAAGAAACGCTTGCATGCAGTGGATTTTGTGCTATGCTGGATGGTAGGTGCAGCAAACCCAGCACGAGCCTTTGCAGTACTACCTTGGCCTCCTTAGCTCTAAGAAGAAATGGAGCTGGGCTGTGGCCAGAAACAAAATTACTTTTGAACCTGTTCAAACACTTCCCTTCCACTCCTGCATTTGTTTCCTCCTCCAGCTAAGCCCAGAGCAGCCCAGGGCTCTGCCCGGCGCCTCTGCTGCGGCGCTTGCGCCTGCTTAAACGCTCCAAATGCCCCGCGGCTGCCGAGCCCGCGGGGAGCCTCGAGCGCTGCGGAGCTGCTGCAGATCCTCTGCTCTCATCGGGCTCATTCTGGCTCTGCTGGCTGGCACTGCCTCTCTTGCACCGCTGTCCCCAGTGGCTTGTGGGGGTCAGCAGAGCTACTTCCATTTTCCACTTAAACTTGGCCTTCTACAGAGAGGAAATACGGGGCCGGGCAGACAGCTGTGGGACAGGAGCCGCAGACTGTACAGCTTTCCCCAGATAACAGCTTTGTACAAAGGCTGCGGCATCTTCAGAGTGCTGGGAAGGCCACCAGGCATAACCTGCTGTGGAAGAAGCACCATGGAAGAAGCACGTCCACAGCTGAGCCTAAATAACCTGGTAAGCTACAAAATGCTTTCAGTTGTTGCTGTGTATTGACACCATCTCCTAAGGATGAGCATGTTGCTGTGGCTGCGACATATACTCACTTTGAGCTTCAGATCTAGTGACCCATGGGGTTACTGTCCCCAGTCGGCATCTCCTGCAGGAAGGCAGTTCCTGCTCAGACCCACCGTTGCCATCAGACCCTAAGCCCTGCAGCCTAAAACACCAGGTGGACAAGAGGAGGAGCAGTTGCAGCAGGGCTGAGGACAAATCTGCTTGGTGGGATGGAAATGAGCGACCAGCATTAGCCACAGCTGGAGCATCTGCAGCAGGAAGGGCACTCGGAGCCTGCTGCTGCATCAGCCCTTACCAGGGCAGCAGAGGCAGGAGCAGAAAGCAGAGCACAGCAGAGAGCTGAAGACAGGGAAAAGCACAGAACCACCTTGCTGCAGCGCAACAGTCAGATTTAAGCACCTTCCTTGCCTGCACAATTCAGCAATTTGCTTGTAATAGGGACAAAAGGTCTTCACCACCTCCAGTGATAAAGATCCTGCACTGATTTCCAGTGCAGTCATATGGCAAATTCAATACTGCAAATTTTCAGGTTTCTAGGATGCTGTTGCTCGTCACAACAGCTAAATATTTACAGGCAAAAATCTGCAAAATGAGAAGCCAATCCACTCTTTCAACACGCTGAATTTTCTAACAGTTTAAGAAAGATTGGACTGAAACCTTGGCTGGGACTGTATGGGCTGTGTTCCCAGGTCTGGCCCTATTCACTTCTGCACTTCACTTCTCTCCCTGGTAAAACACCTGCCCTGAAGTAGAACAACTGCTCCAGCAAACGGCCTCTCCCTTGCTCCGTGCTCCCAGCGCCTTTCAGAACCAAGCTGAGCGTGCGGGAGAAGCAACACGGGGCTTCCCCCGGGCCTTTCCTCCCCTTCCCCAAGGGGTGGGATGTGAGCACGGTGCACACGAGAGCTGCACCACCTCCCTACACTCCACACCACACTGTTTATGGAAATTCAGAAGCGGTGCCAACATTTTACAAAACAGACATTATTTACATGTATTAGAAAGGCTGAGTGGACTTATCTTAACCTTGGTGTCAGGCTTTGCTGATCCTACCAGGCACCAGCCAATTGGAACCATCCTTCAATCCAAGCAGTTTTACCAGCTTTTATTAGAAACACCAGCACATTTCAAGTTTCCTCTTTTTGATCACAAATATAGTATTTTTCTTCTTTTAAGTACACAGCATGAGACACAGCATCAGGGCTTTCCATCTTTTTCTTTTTTTTTAAAACAGCAATTTCTTTTGGACAAGCTTTGGGTTAGTGTTCACTGACCTCACCCCAGGCCCCAATTTTGACATCTTGAATTGCTGAAGACAGTTGCGTGGGCAGATGAATCCAATGGTGGTGGAAAAGGTACAATAGTTAAGATTTGCAAGAAAGGTTTAAGCAGAGGCCTTCAGCAGTTAAAGAGGCTGCAGTAACGCCGCAGCGCACTGCGCTTTTCACAGCATGGGGCTAAAATGTCTCCTTTGCAAAGGCTGAGCAGTTGCTCTTCTCCCCCGTCCTCCCCCAGCGCTGCCCAGGACAACCAAGGCTGGAGGAAGCTCTACCTTAACGCCAAGAGTGCCAGGTCTTCTCGAGCAGCAAGGGCAGGCTGCGAGCTGGGCTAGTGGCTGCATTTGTGGCAAATCCCATCCGAGCTGCAGGTAATCGGGAAGCCTCAACGCTTGGAGCGATGGAATGTGAGGCTAGTTGGGGTTTTAATTCATACCTACATGGGGAAAGGTTCCTTGGATTTTAACTCCAAGCGAGTAATTCATGGGGAGGAGGGGGCAAGTATCCCAGGAACATGAGGGCATGGGGACAGGATATTAAAGGGAACATGTACATGATTTGTTATTTTTTATTCCACAGAAAACCCTCAAATCTAGACTCAGAGTTAACAGCAGAAAAATAGTGTTAAAGTCAATAGGTTCATATTTTACTGTAGACTAAATAAATTAGCCTAAAATTAACTCAGTACTTTCTATTTTTCCTTTCATTGGTGATCCTTCTCTAAATTAATGCAGTTTTTAAAAGCAACGGCTATTAATAATTTATTCCAGTTAACCCTTATGGATGAACACCTGTAAGTATTAAATCTATGGGAACCATTCCCCTCTCCTCTCCCTCCCCGAAAAGGAAACAATCACTAAAGGGTGTTGTAAAACAGACATGCTACCTACAATACTCCACGGATCGTGCCACTGCTATTGATGCCTCTGGCTGCTCTGGGTAATGGGTGAATATCCATAGCCATGTCTTACAAAGAACATGATCAAAAAATATATAAATAAATAAAAACCTTAAACATTCTTACATGGATTTTTAAAGAACAGAATACATGTTAAAAACTTCAGTAATTTATATCAATTTTAAGCAATACTTTATATACAATGGAAAAAAGACATGCATAGTCCAAATACAATGTTGAAAACAGCATTTTCATAACAAAAAACCCAAACACTAAGTGTTAATACCATGTACATGAATTCAAGAAGGACCACCCTTTTGTCTGTTGCACACAGTTTATTTAACAATATGATATTATAAGTAAGAAATGAGTTTTTTTCTTTACCATTCTATACAGTGATTGAATCTTCTTGGATTTTCTTATTTATAGTAATTATAGCGCTTGCATGATTTACACTAGAATTGCTTTTCCTCATTTCAAGTTTCACATAGAAGAAAGAAAGAAAAGAATGCTTCTTCTCTATTCAAATCAGCACGGTCTAAGAGTGATCATCCCTATTTTCATCTAAAACCAGTTTTATCAGAGAAACAAAGCAACAATTTCTACATCTGCAAGACAAGGATTTTGGCGTTGGCCAATGTGTGTTTTTGTGTGCAAGAGTCAATTCCTATCTTTCCAGGGGTAATACTTCAAACGCCTGCAGAGTTCACTATAGAAAAAAAAAATCTTCCCGCAACATGTCAAAGTTATCGGGATACATTATAATGTTGTATTATTTCAGGAAACAGTTTCTGAATATTATTTCTTCTTTTAAACGCAAATGTTTAAAGTCTTGAAAATACAAATAAAAAATATGAATATAATGAACTTGTTTTCCCCATTAAAAAAAAGGTATGAGTCAACAGCAACAAAAAAAATAAAAACCAAAAAAACCCACAAAAGAGACCAGATATTTTAACCGCCTGGCTTTAACAAAAAAATATATTCTTTGTATTGTTTTCTTTTCTTTAAACAGCAATTCATTCTTCCACGGGTAGGAAGCAGCAGTTCCATCCAGGATTCAAAACAACCCAGATGTCTGAATTTTCAGTACAAAATGTCCAAGAACACGAAAGGAAAAAAAGTGATGCTCCCATAATGCTACAAACCCTCCACAAATTTTTCTAGCGTGTCTCCGGTGGTATCACCGACCAGAGACAATTCATTAGACAACGCACTCCTGTTCGGGGTGTTTAGTTGTGGAAGCATTGCACTCTGTTCTGGGTTGCCCAAGTGTCCCTGATCCATGGAGCTGGCCATAGTGACCGCGAGTCCCGGGTGGGGGGAACCAGTCTGGGGAGAGACATGATGAGGTGACGGTTGGGGCTGTATCCTTGGTGACGGGCTGGAATGTGGTGGCTGGGACTGGGGACGGGGAGACTGAACGGGTGCTGGCGAGCGCACCTGGTTGCTGAGGGAGGTGGCGATCTGCTGGCCAGGGAGATGAGACGCCTGCGCTTGTCCTGAGAGCATGTGCTGTTGCGGGCTCATGGGGTTAGGCTGCCCCGGGGACCCTATCTGCTGTTTCATCTGCTGCTGTTGCAGGATCCTCTGCTGCAGCGCCTGCTGGATGTTGGGAGTGCCATCTGCCCCCATGCTGGGTTGGCCCATCTGGTTCAGCTGTCCCATCTGAGCCATCTGCCCCATGGACCCGCCCTGTATCGATATATGCTGTTGCATGCGTTGCTGTTGCATGGCTTGAGGGTAACCTCCTGGTCCTTGAGGCTGCTGGAACTGGTTATGTGCCGCCATCCCTCCTGCCATGCCAGCCCCTCCTTGCTGCTGCTGCTGTTGCTGCTGCTGCTGCAGTAATTGCCTCCTCAGTATTTCGCGATACTGCGGACTCATGTTTGCCATGCTCGGGTTGTGGCCAGGGTTCATGATGTTTATCGCTTGTCCCTGGGGATTCATACCCCCTATCCCTTGCTGCTGGGGAGGAACACTCGGTCTCTGCACTCCCGCTTGCATTGCATTCATGTTCTGCAGTCCTGGTTGGGTGTGCATGCCCGGCTGTTGCATGCCAGTCTGCTGCTGCTGCATCCCAGGCTGGGGCTGTATGCCTGCTTGCGCCTGCATCCCAGGCTGGTTAGCCACGTATTTGGCTGTTCTCTGCTTTATAAAAGCTGCCATAAGCTGAGGGTTGGATTTAAGGATATTAAGAACCTGCTGTTGCTGCTGCGGAGAACTTGGTGATTTCAAGGTCCTCAGTAAGTCCTGAAGTGCATTTGGGGGGATGCTCCGTGGCGGCTGTTGCACGCCCGGCAACCTCGGCCCTGCGGTGTTGCCATCGGCATAACTGGTCTTGCCATTCCGGGCTGCATTGGTTGCTGCTGCGGCATTGGAGGCGACTGCCACTGTCCAGGCTGCATGTTGGACATCACTGGCCCGCTGACGGGGTTAGACCGGGGTACATTCATGCTGACTTGCTGCATCTGGTTCACTGAACCCACCGTGGGGTTTACGAGTCCTGGGCGCCCAGGAGGCAAACCATTGTTAATGTTGTTGACCCTGTAGAGCTGCTGCTGTTGCTGGGCAGCTTCTCTCTCAATCTGCCGAGCCGCTTCCACTGCGGCCGGCGGAGGCTGGGCTGGAGGTGGGGGTGCTGAGACAGGGTTTGCAGGTTTTCCTGTTGAAACAGTAGTAGGGGGCTGAGTTCTTGACACACTGGGAAAGCCAGCTGGTGACATACTTACAGGGGAAGGCTGGGGCTGGGGAGGAGGCTGCGGTGTTTGCGGTGTACTTGGCTGCTGTGTAGGGGTACCAGGCGTTGCTGAGGTAGGAGAAGGCAAACTTTGCTGAGGCACGTTGCGGGTGTTCATGGTAGCCATCCTTCTGCGCATGAGCTGCGCCTGCTGCAGGCGGTGCTGGATCTGCTGCTGTCGGAGCTTGTGTTTAATATTGAGACAGAATGGCACAGGGCATTTGTTCTCTTGGCAGTGTTTGGCATGGTAGCAGCAAAGAGCTATGAGCTGTTTGCACACTGGACAGCCACCATTGGTCTTGCGCTTGCAGCCCTTGGTGTGCTGGACAACCCGTTTCATCTTCTGGCATGATGGCAATGAGCAGTTTGCATTGCGGCACTGGCAGGCATGGACAAGGGACTGAATGCAGCGCTGGATGCTCAGTCGACGCGACTCCTGCGGGCTCTTTGACTGTTGCTCTCCTTGGCTGTTGCTCTCATCATCCAGACCCAGGCCCCACTTAACCATCTTGTGGTCATGGCTCTTAGTGTTGTAGCAGTTAATGCAGAGGTCGTAATCCTGAAAGTAAAGAAAGTCGAGAGCTCAGTGATCTAGAGCATTAACTCTATCAGTAAAAGATCTCACGAGAAAGTGGTGCTGCGCGTGCAACAAGGTGGAAGCTCGCTTTGGGTTTCAGCAGCTATAAACACACAGCAAAACAAAAGCAGGACAACAGCCGTGTGTTATGAAGAGCTGCCAGTTTCAGTTTACATCCAACACACTGATGCAGAGAAGTGGCTGCACAGCCACTGTGGCAGCGGGACGAGGACCGTTGGGAAGGGAGTGTTGGGCAGATGAGGGCAGAAACCTCCAAAGCTGCCACAGCAGAGCGGGTCTGCAACGTGACTCGTTCCTGACTGCTGCGGGTAACAGTGGAGGTTAGGGCTGCGACTGAGCCCTCATTTTATTAAGTTAAATTACCCCACAGAATTTGGGATTTTGTTCTTTCTAAGGATGGGAACTATTTACTTCTCTCTCAATTAAGGTACCCTACACAAAGAGGATCAACAACCCCTAGAGACTTAAGTTTAACTCCAGAGACAGCGAATTTGTTGATAGAGAAGGTGAACTTATCACCAAAAGTTATCAATACAAGAGCACTGATGCAAGTGGCAAGAGTTCCAGGCACAGGTGACTTGATGCTCAAATGCTCCTCCTGATTCACACAGGCTACATCTCCTCAAGACTACATTTCCACAGACCTTTTTGTACGTGGTACTTCTTTTACCAAAGCTATTTTTGAACTGGATCAGATTACTGTGTGATGAAACAGTCCCCAAAAATCACTGTGTGGTGTGAGGACAAGTGACAAAAAATTGGGACCTGGAACCACTCCCTTCCCTGCACAGAAGCGGGGCTGACTAAATCCAATACAACATGCGGAGCAGAACAAAGGTTTAAGACCTTTGACTGCAGCTGCACAAAGGGAAGAGACTATAAGGGAGAGATTCCCCCTTAACAAAACCTGGGCTGTGGCTCCCTGCATCTCTGACTTGTACACACAGGGCCCATCAATGAAGCTTTCCTGAAAGCTCCAGTTTGGTGCAGGGCAATAATCTGCTTTTTTCCTTCAGCCTCACACCAAGCAAAGCTCCAAGGCTCTGTTTGTAAAGATGGCCAAGGCCTGGGCTGATATAATTCTCAAACATGTCAGCAATACAATGAACCTGTCCCAAGAACCTGAACCCTTACACTCTGACAGTGCATACTGTCCTAAAAACCTGCTGGGAGCTTTGAATATGGCAGCACCTTAGAATTTTCTTAAAATCTAACCTCAAAACTTATGCTCCAGGAGAGATTACTGAGGAGCACATGTAGCCACCAAAGTTCTTCAGAAAGTCAAGCATGTGTCACTGAAGGTTTAGGTGCAAGTGACCCTAAGGGCAGAGGGACAGAGGGGAAAGCTCCGTGAAACCCCTCCAAGCCCTATCTGGCTCTAACTATGCTAACCACGCTCATACTAGTGAGCTAAACCTAGCTCAGAGATTATAGTAAGACAAATCTAGCCTATGTGCTTATAAATTTGGGTTTTGCTCTTCACTTGACAATTCTTAATGTAATTACTGATTACCAACTGCCGTTTTTTTTTTCTTTTTTCTCCCTCCTCTAAAATGACCCTTAAATAGAGTTCAAGTTTCAACCTAAGACAGGCTGAACACCCCGTCAGCTGAAATGTCCATATTTTCACTGCCTTATGCTTTCTTGCTAGAGAGAAATCACTCCTTTACACAGGAATTCTCAGAAAAAACCTGAGGCCATACTTCCTTCCACTGCTTAAGTCTCCTAGTGTGTACATCTGTTTCTTGAAGTCTTGCCTCAAAAGGCACCACTCAGTGCTTTCCTCAGGGGAATTAAGTAAAGCTCTTCCCGACACAGACCTTGCACTGCTCTCCACTGTGGACACTAGGCTGCACTCATTCAACCATTTTTCTGCTTCAGCTACAGCCAGAGGTCATCACAAGCCCATCAGGGGCTAGACCCCTTCAAACTCACCTGTACAACCTCTAGCACTGGGCAGAGGAAGGTGTGAAGAGCTGCGCTGGGGCCAGGACATGTGTGTGGCCACACTCATTAGAACACAAAGTGCCACCTACAAGGTGGAGTGAAAGCTGCCCTGCACAGAGCTAAGTCCTCTCACGGACACACATTTAATCGGGGTGCCCAGGAATTCATTCTACTTCCTACAGTTACTTTGTGGCACAGTCATGCCCTACCATTCACTCCTAAAATTCTCTACTACGAAGCTAAAAGCGTTGTCTGTGCAGAGAGGCTGCCTGACACAGCTACAGTGGAACAAATGATGCAGCAGGAGCCATCCCAGAGTACAGCAGCTTTCCATGGATATTAACCAAAAGCACTTATTCCAGAAAAGGTCCTCCACTGCAGCAGACCCACTCCTATGCTTAGCAGCCCTTCTATCAGAAAGGGTGTAATTTGGAGGGCTTTAGACAATACCCAGGAAAACAAGCTTTGTCTGGAGGGCAAGAGCATAGCTACTGTGAAGAAAAACACCTGGGATGATATATGCAACGTACCTCACAGACAGTGCAATGCCACCTTGTTTCCACGTGGTGTTTGCACTCATTGCACGTATAGACAAAGCGGTCCTGCCCTTGCGTGTGCAGTTCTACGAGCATGCACAGCGTGGACCACTTGGATCGGCGGAGCGAGGAGAACTCCCAGTGCTTGTCTCTGGCTAAGGTGAGAAAGGCATCTCGCCCATCCATCAAATCACAGCTAAGTAATGGATCTGGGTCCACGATGGGAGGAAGGGTGTTTATTACAGGTCCAGCGTGTAAATGAATCACAAAAAAGACCTGCAGATAAAAGGGGAAAGAATCATCAAGATCAGATGAAAATTCAAGTTCTATTGCAGAAATGGTATACCATAAATGTTACCCAACTAAGGTAGTTCAGGGTAATCTCTGTCCATATGTTGTTACACAACAGAAAAAAAAATCTAGAGCAATCAAAAGCTTTACTCCTGCTTTTTCAGTTCTGACTACCATCATGCCTTATTTTACATGAATAAAGTATTCTCTTTATGCAGCATATTCTAACAGTACCTCTTTATGCTTCTCCATAGTGGCATAGAGCTTCTGAGACAGATCATTGGACACATTTGGCATGCTGGGTTTCTTCTTGTTAGCTCTGCTGATGCTGCTCTTATTCTTGTTGGTTTTCTTGTTGTTCTTTTTCTTGGCATTTTTGCTGTCGCCCTGGCTTCCCTGCAATAAATGCATAGGAAAAATGTTCAGTTATGTGGAGCTCTCCCATTCACTCTAACTGAAAGTGAAATGCTTTTGCTGTCAGTCGCAGGACTTTGTTCCAACGCTTGCAAGTCTGCCACATTGTGTTAAATATATCCCATCTCCCAGGGAAAATCAAAAGCCAAACTGGGAGGCAAGCAATTTCAAATGCTGTTTAAAAGTGATCTACATTATGCATATACATTAAGTGATTTATGTCTTTTTTTTTCTTCCTTCTGAAACACTGTACTTCAGCTTCTGCTGCTTGCTTTACAAAATTTTATTGATATCTGATGAGAAATAGTTAAAATTAAAATAGACTTTTAGCAGGATTTTAAACTAACCAAACACGTTAGTCCCTATTCTGAAGACTGGCCGCTGCACATGTGACACATACATATCGTACTTTTATTTTCTTCCCCCCTTCTCATAAGCTACAACAGCAACAGAGGTGACAGCGACCATATACTGAATGCTAAATGTAGATACTGAATGCTAAGTAAGTAGAGTTTAAAATTTGCTCGAAAGTCCATCAATTAGGATTTATATGCCTGACTTTTAAAGGAGATGTTACAGTAATGAACAAGAAAAATAAAATTAGAAGGCATGTCTTTCAGGTCAGATGATGCTATGTAGAATAATGCTATCTAGCTATGGAAATAAAAACAGGTTTCAAACTTCAAAAGCCCTTGAATTTTTTTTTTTTTAAAAAAAAAACACCTCCCACCCCAAAGCTGGGATATCTCTATTCACCACAAATCCCCTCGCTGACTGCTAAAATGCTGATTTTCACAATGTAAAAATAAGATACTGAAATGCTCCTGATTTATATGAGGAAGTTTCACAAGCACTGTGCATGGGCAGAAACCAGGTTTTATTTGTAAGTCTATTTATTCAAACATAAATCAAAAATATTCCAACTACAGAAAGCAATCCCACAAGCAGACCAGATGCCTCACTGCCATCCCTCCATCGCACCCATTAGGTTTAGAATTAAGTTCTCTTTCCAACTTTGCTTTTTCAGCAACTAGTTTTATCAATGTTTTGACCTAACCTGCTTAGAAATAAAATTATGCTATTTTATGGGAAGCTAAATGGAGCTCCCAAGTCATTTAAATGCATTCAGAATGGAGTTAACAAACTGACAGAATTGTGTTTGACAAAGTCAAACAAATGACTTTCTCTCCCTAATTTTCTATTGTGCTGATGGAATTATGACATGGTCTCCTTTGTCTTTGCATGCTGAGTATCAACAGAGATTAAAATTTGAATGTCAACCAAGAAAGAATACAATTATCCTGTCAAGTTTCTGCTCCATCTTTAACTGGTTTATATGTGGTCACCATACAAAGCTATTCTAAAATATCCTAAGAAGTTGCAAAATTTTTTTTTCCAAATTGTTTCAATTCTTGGCTACTCATCTGATGCAGCCAGCTTTGCTAGATATGTAAAGAGCAGGGTTCCTACACATCTTATCCCTTCACAACTTTTCTCCAAAATATTTGAATATCATCCAGCATTTCTTTACAGTTTCTTCTAACCAGTTATTGCAGCACATCCGATTCTCCACCTTTCCAGGAGAAGGTTCAGCATTCTTGACAGCTGACAGCAAGGATCAACGTGAACTAATTTCACCTGAATTCATGCGCAGGTCAGTACAATTTACAGTTAAGGGAAAGGTGCTTGTTGCTGTTTTGCCACCATAGTGACACACAGGGAAACCCAGAAGCTTCTTCCCATTCCTCCTCACTAAAATCCACAAGCCCTACCCCTCAAGTCTTCCTCAATTCATAGTACACACCATCATCTCTAGCCTGATGCTTATGTCATTTGAATTTGTAGCAAACTTCCTTGGGAAGACTGCAGATGCAGCAAAGAAAAGTGTGCCATGTGGTGACCTGCTGTAGGCAGCTGCCATCACCCTTCTCCTCCCTAATTTTGCTTTGCTGGTGCAGTTCCTTCCAAGGATATAACTTCAGAGGTGACAACCAAACTGTGATTCTTCACCATTTTGTCCAGGTACCTACAGCCCTGGGCGCCACTGTTCAGCTACATCCGGCTTTTAAAAAGGTCTCTTCAATGTGCAAACTTTAGCACTAAGAACTTCAAGAAAAAGACACGGATATTCACAGTCATGGCTGCATCATCTCCCTTTGCACACACAACTTGTATGAAAGTAACAGCTGTTTGGGCTTTTTAAGAACCCACTTTCCCCCACTCTGCACTTTACATTGGCATGTTCTCTGGAAGGGCATGCTTTGATTCAATGCAACTGATACAGTTTAACTTCAAAGTTTTCCCTTCCTGATATTTTCATAGTGTTAAATCTGTTGAAATATTTCAAAATTGAAACTATAACCAGAGGTGAAAAAGGTGAAAGCTATTAACATTATGGTTAAGAAAAACAGCAATAAACTGTAACAGCTTTAGAGAAGCTGCTGAGGGTTGATAAGACACTTCCTGACATAATGAAATCGCTGCATGAAGGTCTATTGCTCTGCTCAGTCACGTGCAATATATACTGTACACAAACTGCCAGGACACCTAGGCTGAGCGCAGCTCCTCCCCAGGTGAAGCTTTCGGTTCCACCTCATTCTGCCAGACTTCAGATTTTCATTCTAAATTAATTCCCAAAATATCCTCCTGCAAATCACGAATAAAAGGGACAGTACAAAAGCAATAAAACCATTTGTTTTCTGATACACTTGCTGACAAAATGCATAAATCTAAACAACTAATGAAATTCTGGCCGGGAGCCTGAGAAATTTTTTTTTTCTATTTATAGACCGTAGAGAGTGCTTCTGAAGGAATACCACCATCAAGAGCAATGATTCACACTGATGGAAAGTTTGCAATTGATCCAAATACCTTTGCCAAATGGTGCCAAAATTTAATCCAGCTTTGAAAAACACAGCACCTTTTCAAGCACAACTACAGAAGGTGATTTGCAAAGGTGTGAACCAGAAGTTCAGCCAAACGACTTCAAGCCAATGCAGCGGTCATGATGCAATCCAACAGCGGCTTAACACATTTCTCTGAGAATAGGGATGCTGAAATGACAACTGACTCTTCCTGTTTTGTAAACAAGCCCCCAAAGCAAAGCACAAAAGAGCCCCATCTCCAAAAAACAAGCCATCCGTATGCTTGTTATCCGAGAAGAAAATCATAAATGCTGTTAAAGGAAACCTGGATTTGCTTCTGATCCAGAAGCAAGTCTAGCAAGTGAATTTAACTCACCTCTGTTGTTTCACTAGCTGCAGTACTTTCTTCCTTTTTCCTTTCCTCCTCTTCCTGTTCCAACTCTTTAATGCTTTCTTCCAGCACATTGGGCCAGAAATCACCCTCAAAGTAAGGCAGCTCCTTGGCACTTGTCAGCCTGTCCTCAGTCGCTTGCTTGAAGATGTCCTGTTAAGTGAATCACACAATGCCAAAAATAAATGAAAACCACTTAGAGGAGAACCAGACAACAACACAAACTCAGTCCTGTCCTAAGCAGCCATGCTCACAGCTCACATCCCACCCGCAGCAGTCTTTTTCCTGGGGGAGCCAACCTGCCAATGTGGGCAATAGCCCATTCCCAGGCCCATCACTGACATACAGCTGCTGAGGCTCCCTTGAACCAGTTGATCAGGCAACTGGTTCATGCTCCTGACCTAATGGGAGAGACTGAGGAGCCCCTGGAAAAGGCAACAAATCTTCCCCCAGTTATTACGTGAACTGATCAAGCCCACACTGCTTAAACTTTCCTTGTAATGCTCCTGGTCAAGAGAGGAATCTGTTCTGGTGACAGCAGGTATCTGTCACCTGCTCCTTGCTCTTCCAAATCTGGGAGTGTGCAAGGACGTCATCCACACGCCAGGGCTGGGCACTGTGTGTAACAAGCTCTGGAAACCCAGGGAGCATTAGCTGTCTGCACAGGCCAGCTCTCACGTGCAGGGGCACCAAGTCCTGTTGTGGCTGCAGGGCCATATGCAGCCTCTGGCCTTCCCTGACTGCCAGATAAAGCTCTGTGCACTGCCTATCCAGAAAGGCTGGGAATCATGGAGCAGATCCTGACCTCTGAAAGGAACAGACGTTTTATGCAGCTGTTTTGGGTGCATTTTAAAGTACCTTAAATCCAGCTACAGGTTTAACAGGTACAAGGTTAGCCAGCTCTTCTCTTCAAGTTCCTTTTAAGACTATTAGGACAGAAATAAGACTTTCTAGTTGGATCCTATCTTTGCAACTCTGCATCAGAGGACAAAGCTTGATACTGACTGTTCTGATTCTACACTCTTGGTAGCTGTCACTTACAATCAAAACACTTTTTTTTTCCAGCACCGTCACTAAGAAATTCTTGTAAATGTTAATACATAAGGAGTGGCAAATGCTATCTTTGCCATTTTAAGCTTACTTCCTTGGAAGCATGAGTGATATTCTCAATTTTTATATTTGTTTATATATGTATATACACACACACACATATATATTTTAAATATATGTATATGTACATATATATATATATATAGGTTAAGAATTGGGCTACAATTAAGCAATTTACTTGCTCTTCTCTTTCTTTTCTCCCTCAAGGACCCCAAATCAATTCATCAAGTGAATAGTAGCAAACCTTGTAATCATGAATGATTCTCTCAGCAAATGCCTTGTCCAGCATCTTTTTATACCATTCTTGTAAGCGTTTGGGTTTGGGTATCTTCTGATCAGGTGGGTGGCAATGAAAAATATAGTCATCTCCTTCACTTGGGGGACAGGCCCAGATATGTCCTGTCACATACCTGCAGGTCACAAACAGGGAAAGAAAAAAATCTCAACTACAATTTTGTCTGCTATCTTAAAAAATATCTCATCAGAAAACTACCTTCACCAACATGTGAATTCAGACCTCTGGCCTTTTTTTTAATTATTTTTCTTTTTTAATAGATATGTTGAGGCAATAACCTCCATTTATACAACAGATGAGAAACAGTCCAGGGTCTCATCATGAGGCTTAAGTTTACACTGGATCGCTGAAAACCCTAGTGATAAAATCCACTCTCCCCACTGAAGAGACATGTGTCCTACATGTCTCAAAGACAGGGCAAAAAGGAGACCATCTTAAGTGAAGCAAAATTTTAAGAAAAAAAGTTCTTTCTTTACAAAGATCACTCACCCAAGTTTCTTCACATATTCCAAATATCCAATGAGGATTTCATGATAAACTGCAGTTCGGAGACAACGTGGGCGGAAGAAATGAATACTATCTAGATATGATATGTACACACGCCTATGGCAATGAGAGAAGAATGATAGAAAAATCATTCTTTCTTGTCTGCTGAGAACTGACTTTCATAGCACAGACATATACATTCATACTGAACACAGAAAAATTAATGAATGCAGATTATTTTAATAAATATTCAAGCATCTTAACATGGTATAAACAGTTCTTAAGAGCAAAAGATAGAGCTGCTTTTTAGACAGCAAGAGTATACATTAAGAGGCCAGGTTAAGCATCAAATGCAAGAAAATGATTTTTAGAAATTTTAACATTTTTGTTGGGAAATTCGTTTTTCCCAAAGTCATCTGCAGTCATTCAATAAGATTAATTTGTGCCACAGAATTGAAATGTATCTCCCAATTTTCTGTTTTTAACAGTGAACATAGCTATAGCAGTGAATATAGTAAGATTTTCTCTCTGTGTGAGCTACCATAACAGAAATAAAGAGTACCTTGTGTTTGGAGGTGGGCAATCTGAGCCATACTCCTGCACATGCATGCCAAAGAAGCACACGTCTACTCCATCTATCTCCTCAAATGCAAAGAGAGCTTTGGTACGGTATGGGAAAGACTCTGACATCTCACCCGAATCCACAAACCTGAAGGTTTGAAGGGAAGGAATAGACAAGGTCATGGGAAGGAATAGACAAACAAACAAAAAGTTTTTTTTCCTTTTTTTTTTTTTTTAGTCTTTTGGTTGTTATGTTCTTTATGGATTAAAAAACAAACTACTTCCAAGAATAAATCTTTCAAACGTTTCATTTTTCATTAAGTAATTAGAAAATGACAATGACGGAACAGTAAGGAACAGAATTGCAGCAACTGCGCAAAAACTAAACTATGAATTCTGTAATGCTGGCCAAAAAGCACTCAGACCCTCTCTGAAGATTTAGTAATAGAGAGTCACAGCATCACAACCAAAACCAATGTGCTCAAACCAATGTGCTCCTTCCAGTTAAAATACAACTGGAATCACCTTCAAGCTCACTTGTTACATATCGCTTTTCTAATCTTTCACAACCTGTTTACTCATGCTTAAGTTTCAAAAAATTTGCAATAGGGTTAAGGTGCAAATTGGCACAGTATTTCTCTATTTACGTAGAAGACAGTGTAAGAACAATTTAACAATTAAATTTTGTTATAATAAATAGACAAACCTGGATTTCATTCCTGGTTTCACTTCTACTGTCTTATCTGAACTTGCTACCACTCTGACAAAGACCTCTCCAGCTTCAGGATGATTCTGTCGTCGCAAGAACTTGTTTACTCTGTCTTCCAAATGGTTTCCTAAACGAGTAGTCTGCAGCCCTGGAAATGAAGGGGGAATAGGGGAGAAATTATTCAAGTTCAAGGTCAGTTACAACATGCACCAGATCCTTCAGCTTGCTACTGAGAACGTGAACATGTTTTTTTTTTTGTTTTACTTCCACATAAAAAATAATGTTTTCTGAAATGAAATAGCCAACATTAAAACACAAAGAAAAAGAAAGAAGCTTGCCCAAAACTTGGACACCTCTATAAGCAAACCAAAACCACCACAGTGGAAAAAATACTTACCGAGTGAACTAACAAAGAGGGCTTTACATAGCATTTTTAGATGTACAGGCTTATTTTATGAACACTGCAAATGTTTTCTCCTAACAAAAACACTATTTGGCTGTTTGACAGAGATTACATCACTTCATAGCTCTGGCTCTGGGCCACACCTTTTCAAGCAAAGCAAAGCAAATCAACAGAAATGAAAAGCCTTTTGACTGCAATGACAATTTCATTGCTTTTTCGTTTCTTTTCTTTTCTAACAGAGATTTAATATTGAACAGTTACAGCAATCCGCACGTAAAGCTTAAACAGTTCTTGCAAGCATAAGGGGTCTTTAGAAGTGCAGTCCACATATCCACAATCATTCTTCAAGTCTCTACATTTACAGTTAATTTTTGTGGGAATAGCTGCTTTTGTACTGCTATGAGATGTGATAGTTTTCAAATAAATTCACAACAAAGTTCAGAAATTAAGATTTCAGCTAAACTGAGAAAACAGAAGTACACTGTTTTCATTTGAAGATTTATGAATTCTTATCCTATTTTTTGTGTTTATTTTACCAATTCATATTTCCACTTTGTTTTTATGGCCTATCTACTATTTTTTGCCAAAGTGATGCCGCAATCTTCAGATACTCATTTTACTAAAATACATTTAATTTTCAGCTCTTCAGTGCTTCATTTTTCAGTTATCTAGCTACTGACATAAAGCTATAGTTCTTCTCTTTGAGTGTTGAGGTTGCATACAGAATGCTGCAGAGAAATATCGATGCTTAAAATTATTTTAGGCACCAATATAGGGAAAAGAGTCACATATCCACAAAGAAAGATTTTTCTTCCTAATGGATTTATATACTCAAATTTTTCCTTTGCTGCCTGTTTATAAAAAAGCTCGCATACAACTCTCTTGGTTTATACCTTCCAGGTTGTCCCCTTGCCTCGTGAGGCTGAGCGGTTATGACATCAGGAGCACAAAATGCTCTAAATATCATTTACTTGGAAGCCAGCAACACTGTTTAAAGGCCAAAGTAAAAATCTACCATTCCCTCTAACAATTCTAACAGTCAGATTCAATAAATTGGTCTCTCCAAGTATAACAGAGAGGGCTTGAATTTAAAGGGAATCCATGAATAAGCTCCCAAGAAACTACTGTTTTGTTAATTTCTGTCCTGACAAACAGTAAAGATGAAATGGCTCCATTGCAGCTAATGAGTTGGTACATATTTAGAAAGCCAATTTAGGTAACTCTACAATCTTGTTTTCATTTTATTATCTTGCCAATGCTAAGCAACAAAAGGTTATCTGCCTCCTTCCTTGTACTGCTCACAGTAAAACTTGAAAAATGAGGGAAAAGGCCAAACACATACATACATACTTACATCTCTCTATACCTATATGTAACTAAAAATACAGAAGAAAGCAGCACTAATACCACATGCACCTCAAACAATGGATCCAAAAGCCATGTACTCTGATGCATTAGATTGTGCCAATTCGTTTAGCAAGCAACTGAATTTTGCTTCTTGGACGTATCCAATACCCATTTCCCACAAAAGCTCAGTTCTCAAAGAAAACCATAGTGTGAGTTTGAAAAAAAAATACATTATTATGAGCTTGGATGCAACTGGTCATTCAGGCAGCAAGAGTACAGAAGCTTTGTTGTTTTGCTGTGGTCAAGATATTTGTTGTGGTCACGCATTTGTTGCTGGATGAGTAATCAGACAGATAGGAAGGAAGTCAGGGAAGGCAGCGTTCTTGCCTACTGTGACTTTTTTGTCCGTCTCTTTTTTGGAGATGATGTCAGTGTACCTTTAGCCTTTGAAAGGCTCTCTGCTTTAGCTACTAGCTAAGTAACATTTGTACATCATCTTAGGAAAATATTTTGAAAGCTACTGATTTCACAGCATAACACAGCTGTGCACTGAGCTACAGGTTCTATGTGGCACAGTCTCAGTCAACATTACTTCTAATGCAAGTTACTCACTATGTGTTTAAATTAAACCATTTTACCTCACGTACATTAGAAGCATGAATGTTACTGCAGCAGCTGAGCCATAGCTCGTAGCGAGGGCTGCGCTAACCTGCGTGTCAGCAGCCATGGCACCATGCTGCAGCGTGTAGAAATTGTGACGATAACTCAGCAAGTAAAGGTTTTGTGTGGGGAGAGAGAAGCAGCGAAAGGAAATGTGATAATGGTTCAAGCTTTCATCACTTCAGTTTGGTTTTAGGCCAAAAGTTGTAAGACCAAGATTTTGATACCAAGAGCAGGTTTTCTTTCTGTCTTGTATTATCGTTAGCACTGTTAAGCGAAACATATATTGAGTTGAGCCCATCCATGGGTTAGTGGAATTGAAATCGTCATCATGGGAAAAAGAAAAACAAAGAGCCAAACAGCAGAGAAAGGGAAGGCAAAAAAAAAGAAAAGGAAAAACACCATTATTTCCCTTTTCATAACCCCAAAGAACAGAATGGTCACCTTACACAACATGGGAGTTACTCAAATACTCTTTTTAAGCAATGCCACAGAAAGGCTGCACACTGCCAAGGCATCACACAGTTGGTATTTAGGACAATAAAAGTCAATATATTCCATAAAGTCAGCATACATAGGAGACACATCTATTTAAAATGTTATCTAAAACTACATTTTTATGTTGTCATTTTATTAATGTTCTCTTGCAACCTTAATCTGTTTTTAATGAGGCTAATTTTAATCTATTTAATAATACTATCTTGCATGTGTCAGGTTACTCTGGAGACTATTCTGATTACTGTAACTTGATAATGCAGTATGAGATATATTATCTACAAACTACCCTTCCTTATTATGCTGAAACTGCAATCAATCACACATGGCTATACCAAAAAAAATTACATGTAATTCAAAACAACTGCTTTAGTATAATTTGGAAGATTTATACCTGCTAACTCATAGTATTGAATATGACAACTTAAAGCCCAGAATTTCAGAGGAACAAAGAACAAGAGAAGAATCAAGTCCACCTGCAGGTGTTAAGCTATATAGCTGTTGGGCTTTCCTTTATTTGAATTTCTTCACAGTGTGTCTGAATCACACTGTTTGTTTCTACATCCACTTTATTCTTCTACTTCATTCCATGGAGACTGCATTTCAAATGCTGGTCTCTACTCTCTTATTGGCTTCCACTGTGTACGAGTAGAAGTTATCAACTAATGTTCTCTAAACATAGAGAGAACTGCACAGGGATTGCTAAAGAAATGAAGCAACCTAGCCTAGTAGCTATTGCTACTCTTTTTGGTGTACATTTCACCAACATTATGATAGTGCTTACTTTCAAAAAGATTGAGACATATCATTCCATTGGCTACTTATTCTGCTTGACAGCTCCAATACCACAGTCCGCTCCAAGGGAAAAAAAGAATTATTCAAATATATTATCCTTTGGCACCATTACAGTACACCTGAGATGCTGCACAACTTCTTACTACATGTTACTTGAAGGGTAGAGACAGTAATTTACTAGTTTCAAGGCTATATGGAAACCTGTTTAAATTTAGCCAGCCCAGTGCATGCAGCTTTATGCTGTCGCCTTTTTTTTCTTTTATTATCTTTTGAAAAATAGGGGCATAGATGCTGAAAATCTCAGACAGCTGAAACACTGACTGAAAATCTGCAAAGAATAAGTCTAAAATGTTGATTAAAATATGACAAAAACCTGGGGTTACTGTATCACACATTTTGCGAATGTTCCTGTACTGCCTGTCATGACACAGCAGAGATTCTCAATCAAAAGGCAAGTTCAACAGAAACATTTGCAAAGGAAGGAATTAGGGATGGCACAAAAAAGATGAAAGGTGAAGAAATAAATACAACGATCAAACTCACTTTTAGCACTGAATTTGTTTTCTTTACGTGTTCTACCAGTTTTCTTCAGACAATTATCACAGACAAACCTGTTAAGAAAAAAATAAAAATCACCCAAACTTAACACAAACCAATTATCAGCTACATTAATTCAGTATTTGAACCTCTGATTTTTATTGTCAGAGAGCAATACATTTTTCTCTGTATATAAACAGCTTTCATCTTTACATTTTTAAAGGACTTAAAGCTGATCAGAGATGGTTTAATTCTGCAAGCCACTGCACATGCATTTGTGTTCTTCACTGTACACAAACTTATCTCCTGCCACCTACCACAAACAATCCTCTCTTGCACATTTTAATCAGAATATACTTCAATGAAACCACTAAGACCCCTCCCCAAATGTATTTTACTTTGAGATGCTTTGCCCTTTAGTACACTGTTCTAAGACAGTGACTGCATATTAAAAAGTAAAGGCAGAACACTGTAATTATATGAGAAACATGGGTCTTATTGCACAAGCATTAAAGAACTAATCAGCATCTCCTTACCCTGAAGGCCAAATAATATCATAATGTAATACACAAATCTGGTGCATCTTCCGACCACACTCTTTGCAGTCAACAAACCTGAGAAGAAAGAAAGTAAAACAAATCACTTTTGTTATTAGGCACGTAAACTCCCAGATTTCAACGAGGAATACTTTCCAACCCTCTACTAAGAACTCAACCAACTTTAGCAGGCCCAATTTACACACCAATCAAAAACAGTCACCGTAATAGCTTCAAGTATGTATCTATGAATTTCATGGGTAAATGAGATCAAAATGTATATAACACCAAATAACATGCAAATTGTAAAATCTAGGAGTTAGAAAGAAAAATGGATTTTTGCACCTAACTCTATCCTTTCCTAAACAGGATTCTGCTTCACAGTACCTTCACAGATTTTATTTTCAACTGCTACAACCACAAGTTCATAAAATTGTTGCTCAACTTATTGTAAATGTAAAAATTAGTCATTCATGAATGACTGTGCCAGCAAAACATGTTTTAGCTTGTCTTCACCTATATGGGTTTGCAGGCTATTTTTAAAATATATTAAAAAGCATCCAAACTTTTGGATGAGAAAACTATTGGAAGGATTTACAGTCAAGACTGCAACATATTATGGAATCCATTGTATTGATTTATCTGAGCAGTTCACTTTTGAGGAGATGAGGAGAACTTCATTGCTTGCAAAGATGAGAAAATGAATTCAAAAGGATTATAAATCAACCATCAGAGAAGAAAGTATCAGTAAGATAAAGTCTGTTTTCAGTAAGGTAAGGACAGTAGGAACAGTATCACAAAGCAATTACAGAAATACTAATCTCAGTTCTTACTGAAGTGGAGGGAGGTGAACACAAGCAAGGAGGACTCCTCTTTCAGTAAGCTAAGTACTCAGTTGAACAGTAGAACATATCTGAGGTGCAGCTTAACCAGAAGAGAAAACCTGTGAAAACCTGTGTCTTGCGTGTCCACACAGGGACACAGGGCTTAATATCGAAGATAATACATGATGAAGGGCCATTTTTAAGCACAGTTTGTGAAGCGTCTCACAGAACATACCTTAGCAATTACATACAAAGCCAACCACGGCATAAAAGAATTACTTAAAACATCTGCTCACTTTTCCAATTAGAAAAATCAAAAAATCTTTCAAGGTTTCTGCTGATTTCTTTCAGTAAGGCTGTGCAATTATCAGCTTCTTGTAGCCTACCTACAACACGAGCTGAAAACTGAGGAACATTAGTGTCACTCAAGTCACATCAAAGGGTTATGCCAATCCGGTAGCTCGTCACCAAGACTGCCAGGAGATGCTGCTCCTCCAGCTCTCCCATACAGATACAGTTCTGCTGCTTGGTGGATCTTTACTGAGCCAATTCAACTCAATCCACCAGGGCAGATTTTCTGACTTTGCAACCCGCTGTATGAAGCAGGGATCCAACAGCTCCAATCAGTTCATTCAAGGATATGATGAGCACAACTAGTAAAACAGAGCAAGAGCAGGACCTCTCTCTTTCAGCAGTGGTGGCCATTAGATGCATTTAGCCTTCACTGGTAAAGCTACAACTTTGCCGTGCATTTCCAGGATTCTAAACCCGGACCTTGGGAACTGAACGCCTAAAGAAAGGCTTCCTTACTCACTACCTAATCTCTGAAATGCTGGACAAGTGAAAGTCACAAGATTATCTTAACATAAAAACATGGGCCAGATACTTACGGCTCTGGATCTAGTGTATCATTTTTCTTCTTTTCAAACTGATCTTTAGAGATGGTTCTAAAGACAAAGATTTAATATGAAATCTCAGTAGTACCTTTGTAACAGAAAGCTGAGACAATATCATTCTGCAGCAATGAGCAAACCTCAAGTCTGAAGTAAGCATATCGGTATAAAGGGTATCTTTCTGTTCAGAGAAAGCAATTTAGCTTGCTTTTATTTTAAGCTTTTACTTTTCCAGGGTAAATTATAGGCAATATATAAATAGGCAAGCATATGCATAAATTTTAAATCACAAGGAACAAGGGAAGCTATGGTGAGTACAGCAGCTACCTTCCCAAGCTGCTAGTGTTCCCCATAAATCTTTAGGCATCTTATTTTCTGGCCAGGTTAAAGATAAGCCATTGGCTTCATAAACCAAAGCTGTGCTTCAAAAGGTGATAAATCAGGATTAGCAAAAGTCTTTAATTTGAAAAAGGACAGGATTAGTAATGTTAGTAACATTTATTGACACAGCTTCAAGTTTCCCCCTCCCCAGCCACGTCATTTAATGTCTGCCACCTCCGAGGTTAGTTTATGGACAGCTCTTGAGCAACCTAACAGCAGGAGAGATGGGTAAACTGATAGACATGACACAGTAACAGCAGTTAATCATTTGTTACTGTAAAAATTAAGGAGAAAGGAGGTAAACACCCAAACCAGCAACAGCTCTAATGCAGGGCAAATACAGTTTCTTATTTTTAAAGAGCGCAATGTGAAGGAGAACGGAAGCAACTTACGTTTGAGGCTGGGAAGGGTCATCACCCAGGGTGACATTCTCCCCCTGGATTTCAGTGAAACACTTCTCACAGAAGTGATACCTGTCAGCAAGAAGGCCATATTTGGGTGAACTGGTCCAGCACAACATACAGCCACCCAAGCACGGAGCCACCAACCAGAGCAGGGCAGATCACCACGACGAAAGGGGGGGCGTTGTTGGTTGATTCATGGGTCAGTGTGGACAATGAGAAGGAACAGAGGGGAGGGAAGGGCAGGATTAGAGAACAGGGGAGGGAACAAACAGCACAGACGTAAGAGGTAAGACGCAAACACCAAGACAACACAGAGCAGAAAGCCAAGGCAAAGCACAGATTAGCATTCGGTCTCATTTTAGACATTACGGCCATCAACACTAACAAAACAGGAGAGCGTCAAATTCAAAATTTGGGGGAGGATTAATGAGGTAGCTACCAAGCGCTACATTTGCACATACTTCAAATTTAAGAATTTGGATTTAATTTTCATTACTTAAGCAGGGGATGATTAAAAAAAAAAAAAAAAAAAAAAAAGCAAGCGCTTTGATTCGAGGCTTCAGAGCAAGTTTCCTTTGGTTAAAAAGGCAGCCTGTCAAAAAGCTTAAGGACACGTTTGCACAGATTTAAATAATTTAGAAGTATGCTGAAAGCATTTATTGATTATCATTAAAAACTGTAAAAGCAGAAACAATTGGCACGGAAAAAAGCTAGAAAAATGTTAAATTGAAAAGCCATTAGACTATAGGATTAAATTTGACCAACTGCTCAGCTAATACCATTTAACATAAATGAAACCAAATCCATACTCTAGACAAACATTTAACAGAAATGCAATTATGGGTCAGAGTTTCCAGCCATTTATCTATAACAATCCAATATATGTATATATGTGAACAATGTTAAATATTGTACATACATACAATATATTTAGGGGTACATCAGAGATCTGGAACAAAGCTTTACAAATTGAATTATGAAGCTATGTGCAATTTTGGGTCTCTGAACCAGGAGCCAATTCAAGTTATACTCAGCAAAAAAACCAAACCAAAACAAAACAAACAAACAAAAACACTGCAGCTTAAATAACCAAGCTGAGTAAATCAGGAACTCAACACTACAAAAATACAATCTGCATTTGAAAATAATATTAAAAAAATCTCCTTTTTTTGGTTGATTTCTTTCATATGAACTGGAACCAGAGTTGTTAGGGTCATAAAAAAAATTAAAAAAAGGCTAAATATTTGGGAAGGATATGAATTCACACATGAACAAAGGTAACAGAGAGAGGCCACAGCTGTAAAATGCAGGAAGGCCAACACAGGGGCGCCAAAATAAAGGAGCTTTATGGAGGATTGAGAGTGAGAGAGTATAAGCAGCGATGGCAGCACAGTAAAACGCAGTTTTAGTACTCAAATGCTACAACTGTGAGAACAGCAAGTATAAAAGCCATCCAAACAAGACGCGGTGTCACATGAACCAACAGCTTGAAAGATGGAGACAACGTGGCAGTTTGCCCCTGGAAACACGCGCACACACTTCGAGCTACTGTAACGCGGGCGCCCCATCTCCACGGCTGGACGTCCGGGAGGCCACGGAAGCTGGACACGGGCTCCCGTGGAAGCAGCGGAGCAGAAGCTCCTCCTGCACGCGCTGCCTCTCGCACCCTGACACGGGGTATTTACACGCTCATGAAAGCCAGCACAAGCAAGCGTGGGCCTTGGCCCAACGCCCGCCGGGGCAAAGGCCGCCCCAAGAAGGGCCCGCAGCCGTCCGGCGCC